TGATGGATTTCCTGCAGCGGTCACACTTGCCCGCACAGTTGCCCTCCACCCAGTGGTGATTCATCACCTGTACATCAATACACAAGAAATAAGCAAGGAACCACCAGACAGAACCAACTCATTGATGATGAGTGGTGAGAAATAAAAATAATGGACAGAAAGTTTCTTAGACAAAGATACAGGGTTGATAGCTATAGGGGACATCAGATGGAGATACCTTGGGCCGTGAAAATTCTGTGATTTTTTTTTATCTCGCTGACCACAAATGATGTCACTGGACAGTCCAATATTTTAGATGATGGTAAGAGCATGTTTTCTGTGCTTTACCCTGTTTCTTCCAAGGCCAAGGTTTTCGTGCATTTTCCTAACCCTAACCCTAACCAAAACTATACACTTAATCTACCACCCCCCTGAAATATTTGACTGTCCCGTGACCTGTGGATTTCCCCTGTTCTTCTTCCTGTTCTTCTTTTTAGCATTCACCAGTTGTAAACTCCGGCAGAAAGATATGGTTGTTCATCCACTTCTGGACTTTGGTCTTCTTCTAAAACATGCACATCCATTTTACAGATCTGGTTTATTTAGATGAAGACTCTTGGTCCCTCACCTCTCAGGCAGATGCACTCTGACTTCTTGGTCCCTCACCTCTCAGGCAGATGAACTCTGACTTCTTGGTCCCTCACCTCTCAGTCAGATGCACTCTGACTTCGAAGGAAACATCCCTAATTAGTCACTTTCTACAACCTGCCTGTTAGGGGGCAGAGGTCTATTTTTGTTGTTTCTCACAATGGGGCCCTGGAACCCTCATTGAAAGCCCACCACATCACCACACAAGTTACCAAAAATGGCCACTAAGAAAACAATAACATTTTCTCTGCCTGTCTTCAGTCTATTTAACTCTTTGAGTCCCAAGGAACGCATCATACGTTTATAGGTTACTAAAAAGCCCAATCAACCCATGATGTGCCAATTTTACGTCTGTTTTGACTACCCCGTGGGCCTGTGATGCTAAACCCTCTGGGATTCAAAGAGTTAAAGCACAGTGTGTATCAAATACATCTGATCACAGGTTGTCTGCAACTTCTTACTTCAGTAAGTGGTAGTAGCAATTTATAGAAAGATATCCTGTTCAACTCACCTTGGTTATAATGAGAATATACATAGGTTGTTTTTTATTTTGTATTCAACTTTCTAACTGCTAGTTCACTGTTTCTGCATGATATAGTAAACTGGAAGTAAATCTATACACTTCACTGTATAGTGGAAACAAACCTGTGTTAACACATAGTATACCGTAAATAAACCATGTGTGACACACAGTGAACAGGGAATAAACCATGTGTAACAAATAGTATACTGGAAATAACCTGTGTGACATATAGTATACTGGAAATAACCTGTGTGACATATAGTATACTGGAAATAACCTGTGTGACATATAGTATACTGGAAATAACCTGTGTGACATATAGTATACTGGAAAAAACCTGTGTGACATATAGTATACTGGAAATAACCTGTGTGACATATAATGTACTGGAAATAAACCTGTGTGACATATAGTATGCTGGAAATAACCTGTGTGACATATAGTATACTGGAAAAAACCTGTGTGACATATAGTATACTGGAAATAAACCTGTGTGGCACACAGTGTACTGGAAATAAACCTGTGTGACATATAGTGTGCTGAAAATAAACCTGTGTGACATATAGTATACTGGAAATAAACCTGTGTGACGCACAGTGTACTGGAAATAAACCTGTGTGACGCACAGTGTACTGGAAATAACCTGTGTGACATATAGTATACTGGAAATAAACCTGTGTAACGCACAGTGTACTGGAAATAACCTGTGTGACATATAGTATACTGGAAATAAACCTGTGTGGCAAATAGTATACTGGAAAAAACCTGTGTGACATATAGTATACTGAAAATAACCTGTGTGACATATAGTATACTGGAAAAAACCTGTGTGACATATAGTGTACTGGAAATAAACCTGTGTGACGCACAGTGTACTGGAAATAAACCTGTGTGGCACACAGTGTACTGGAAATAAACCTGTGTGGCAAATAGTATACTGGAAAAAACCTGTGTGACATATAGTATACTGGAAATAACCTGTGTGACATATTGTGTACTGGAAATAAACCTGTGTGACATGAAGCAAAGGGAGAACAAACCTGAGAGGTTTTCTTTGATTTCACATATGTTGTAATACATGAGGCGGGAGCCCTCTGCACGCACCTCTCATGAACTGTGTATTTACAAACTGAGGAAGAGAGACATCAACCTCAACACCTAGATACAGAAAAGCACATAAAATGACATATTAAAAAACCATAATCATCATACGTCTTGCTAGACTTGGTAAGCTCAATCTCTCTCTCTCTCTCTCTCTCTCTCTCTCTCTCTCTCTCTCTCTCTCTCTCTCTCTCTCTCTCTCTCTCTCTCTCTCTCTCTCTCTCTCTCTCTCTCTCTCTCTCTCTCTCTTCTGATCTCTGTCTTAAGTGTTATGAGTTATTCCTATCCATGATATTTACTTTTTTTTTTTTTAAGTAATGAACATGTCTTGAAAGAAACTGATTCATAGAGAGAACTGATTGCTTACATCAGAAAGAGACAATCTACATTCTTTGGTCATGCGATGAGAAGGAGAAAAATGGAGTCCATTGTAACAGTAGGAAAGTTGGAGGAGAGGAGAGGCAGAGGGAGACTGAGAGAAAAGATGCTGGACAGTCTGACATCATGGCATGGAGAATCTTCTAGTCAGAGCTGATTAAAAATAGGCAAAACAGAAGGTTGTGGATAGGCATGACTACCAACTAACGAATGGCACGAACTATGAGGAGAAGAAGAAAAAAAAGATATTTACTGATGAGGAAACAGTGACGGAGGATGCAGTTCCTAGAAAAATGAGGCAGAGGCAGACCTCCTCCGAAGCGGATACAGGACACTCGAAATGTCTCCAGAACGTGGGGCTGGGGAAATGGCTAGAGAAGATACCTTCAGGCCTGCGCGGAGAGAGTGATGTTCTTTGATGATAATGATGATATTTTTCACGCCACTTCACTTCCATCCTCCAGAATTATTTTCCTTGATCTGCTTCTTCTGCTACTGACCTATTCATAACAGTTAAGGCATGTGTGTACAACTGATTCTCAAGCCACTGGAAGGTAGCCATGGCTGCCTCTACCTCAATTCTCAAATTAGACGTTGACTAGACATTGTCATATAGACTGGCTGTTTCTGCATGACTTGGTGGTGAACTGATGTATGACAAGCTAGATGTTTTGAGGGCCCTTAAGGGACGAGTGAACAGTGCAGAGGCACAGACAGGTCATTTGGGTCAGAGGAGACCTGTGCTGCAAGAAGTCACCAGGAGATCTGGCCGACGCTCAACACTCAAGGGACAATGCGAGAGGGCTATAAAATCAGACGTTTACTGGCACCATCGGAACTGGAACTCTTTGCTTGCTGCTGAAGATGGGGACGGAGTGCTTATGGAAGCATTCAGAGTGCTATGATGTCGATTCCTAAAACTCAATATTCATTATAGCTGAGTAAAGAACTGACATCACAGAACTTTTGAAATTCCTTTAAGCGCTCCATCCCAATCTTCAGCAACCAGTTCAGAGCTCAATGGTACCAGTAGCAGTCTAAATGTATGTCTGTGCTGCCTTGACTCTGAGTGTTTGCTAGAACCCCCTGGTAGCTCCCAGCTGCACCGCTCTCTTCAGACAGTGAATGATCTATTCTTGCTTCTGTACCATTCACTTGCTCCCAAAGGGCCTTGACTACATTCAGCTTGTCCTGCACCAATTTACCAGTCAGCCTGTCTGTCTGTTCATTTCCCAAAACACCTTCAATCCTCAGAGAAAATATCCAAAGGAAACAAACTACCTGCAACCTCTGAAGCTATGCTTACTAATACTAGGCTACATGAATCATGCCTGACTCCACCTTTCTCAACATGGTTTGTGAGTCTGTTACAATCATGACATGTGTGTGCATCTGGTTCTCAAGCCAGCAGAAAGATGCACTGACTGCCTCTACCTCCATTCTCAAAACAGATGTTGCGATATTAAATGCCAAGTTTTCAGCAATGACAATGTTCTCCAAAGACAACTATGATCTATCTGCACTTCCCTCTTCCATAAATTCATTACTGATTCTGACTGTTCAAGCTACTCACAGAAACCAATGCAGAAAACCACATCTGGTAGCTCCAAGAGTACTGGTTTAAATTTGCAATGAAAGGATGTTATTGTGTATACTCTAAACACCTTCTAGAAGAAATGCAATAAAAGAAAGGCAGCAAAAAAAAATAGGGCTATATACAAGTCTTCTTCTTCTCCTTCTTCTTCTTTTTCACTGGCTGTAAACTGTTCTGGTTGGTTCTCTGGAATCAAGCCTTGCTCCAGGACTTGAGTTGCATGCATATCTATTATACCGATCTGGCTTATTTGTTTGCAGACTGTTGGTTTCCGTGCCTCATGTTGGTCAGGCCCCAACCCTCCCAGTTGGGATCCTGTGTCCTACTTAACTCTACGCAGCCTCAAACAGAAACAGTAACATTAAACTACACTTCCTGGAAACATGTCACTGCAAAAAAAAGTCGGTTTCAGGGCCTTTACGTGGATGTGGCAATGATAGAAAAGTCAGGTCTGTGGCATCACGGGATGAAAAGGGTTAACAAGAGAACATGGCAAGACTTACATGAACAACAAAGACCTTGTTTGCCTAGACCAACTAGAAGATTAAGACACAAGTTGCAGTAGGCAGGACGGTTAAAATGTTTGAGTCTCCACACATGTGTGCCATCATCTTGGACATTCTGGGGATAACAATGCAACAAAGTAAATGTAACGTTATAACATAACATAACATAACATACGGGGCTGAGTGGTCTCGAGGTATGGTGTCCGCCTTGAGTGCTGGAGGTCCCGAGTTCAACCCCGGTGAAGGCTGGAATTTTTTCATGTGGACTTCTAGTAATTTCCCCTGGTCTCTGGGTAGTGAGATCAGACACCCGTGTGTATTCTAAGGCGTGTAAAAAATACTTTGGCAGTTGAAAATAGAAAAGAGTAGCCTAACGGTGCTGCCCAGGCAAATGTGGAGTTAAAAATCTACCCAAAGTATTGCAGGATCCGCGCCAGTGCAACGGAGTCCACTGTGCTGAGATTCTTCGGACTCAAGCTTGAGTTAGAAGTAGAACCGAGCATTCATGGGGTACAACCGTGGGCCATGATGTTGGTCCGTCAAATAAACATAAACAAACATAACATAACCCTTGACCCGTTGGGGTCGTGGAGGTGTATCACTAGCACACAAAACCCGCCATCTTTCTCTTTCTTCTGCTTGATGAATATGTGTATAATAACTTAGTCCCGTCCATGTTTAGAAGTTGGTCCTCTTAGCTTTAACACTAATTATTCCTCTTGTCCTTTCCTCACAAAACTGAGCAAAGAACTTCAGTCAAATTCACACCAAGTCCTCTTTAGAACTGTCCAAAATTTGGATAAAATTTTCTATGAAATGAGGTAGTCAAGTGAATACCAACCCTCCATTGCATGCATGCTTCACTGCGGAGGACACGGTGAGGAGTACTGTTTAGATTTTTTTTTTTTTTTAGAGATATGCTGGTGTGTTGGGAAATGAACATGCTGACAGAATGGCTGGCTCTGCACAACTTGGTCAAATACTGATGCATGATAAGTCAGGCGTGGTAAGTGTCTTGTGGGAAAGCGTGTACAGTTCAAAGCAGCACATGGATCACCACAGTCTGGTGAGACTGATGCAGCAGGAAGGGACAAGGGGTTCTGGCTGATGCATGAGGCTCAGAGGAAAAGCAAAACGGACGTTTAATCAGAATGCTACTGGCACCATTTTTATTGGAACTCTGCATTGGCTGCTGGAGATGGGGACCGAGTGCTTATGGTAATGCCCTGAGTGCTGTGATGTTGGTTCTTGAATCAACTCAACACAACACATACCAACCCTTTAAAGCTGCTGCTTAGGACATGCATGATAGGTTATAATGCTGCTATTTGCTTCTCTTACACTGGGAGCAGCAATACACAAGTGATCTTTCCTCTCAACCTGCCTATAAACTGCTTATAATTTTTTCCCAGGTTTTTCCATGCTGCAGAGGACGGGCTGGCTGAACTCACGTCTTCACCAAGCTAAATCGCTCCAAAAAGCATCACCATCAATTAAATTTGCTGACTGGCGTGGGAGATCATGCCTCTTCAGAATCTGCGATCCTCAACTAATCATCTTGACACCCCTCCATGTCATGGCAAAAAGGCAGTCAAGAATCACCCCGCGTTGTCTTTATCCGTCTTTCTTTCCACAGATGTGTCCAGTGGTCACAACATGTTCCAGTTTCTTTCTTCTCATATCATACAGGCTGGTATTATGTAAGTAGGTAGTTTCCTAACATATACCAGTGAAAGTTGGGGACCCAGTAATGACATTGAACAAAAGCATTCAAAAACATTTATCTGAGGAAAATGATGAAAATAAAATGGTATGAATTCAAAAGGAGTGAAGAAATAAGAGAAATGTCTGGGCAACCACTGGCATCAACAGTTACAAGAGAGAGAAGATGTCGCTACCTAGGACACATCCTGAGAATAAACTAGCAGAGAAACACCAAAGAGGTATTGAAATGGGAAATAAAATGATTAAGGATTTGAGGATGCCCAAAAGAAACCCTAAAATGAACGCTGGTGAGAGAGGCCAAAGCTGCTGGATTCCATCCATGATATCGCACTTGCTGCACAAGATACAATGGACTGGAGGAATAGACTGTGAGCCACATAAATCAGCACAATAGGATGATAAATGAATGAAAGGTTCCCGCTATCTGTGATAATGTTTTTACTTTCAACCGTTAGGTCAAACAACATAAACCGACTTCCTGACATGATGATATGTGCAACAACACTGGGACCCTCAGCTACTCACCGTATCTAAGCCTAGGAGAACTAACAACGGTATGGTGGTCATACCACCTTTCTTCCACTCTTCCAGTGACACTGTTCCATCCAGGTCGTAATCTATTTCTATCATCATGTCTTGTAATATCTGGGGAAAATACAATTCTATATCACAATCTATTTCAATCAAAGGTAAAGGTAAAGTCAGGAGATGTGAACCAGCGTCATTGCACATGCTTATGAACCATAAGTGCTCTGCCACCATTAAGGACAGCTGATAAGAAACTGTCCGCCTGTGTCGCCGCCGGCACGCAACTCCGTAGCCACAGTGATGTTCCTCCATTTACTCCAGTGTTAACTCTGGTACCCATTACCTAGAGACTGGGTGAGCCCTGGAAACCGCCCAGTTTCAAATACCGGCCGCGGGCTGCAGCGAGTCGCAGCTGGATTTGAAACCGAGTCTCCTATCGACTGCAGTATCGCGGCCCCATCAATCATTATCTACTCAAATCGTCATGTCCAGTAATGTCTAAAATATCGAACAATCCTCAATCACAATATACTTCAATTACTATTTGCTCAAATCATCATGTCTTTTTATGACTAAAATATCGAAAAAACCTCAATCACAATCTATTTCATCAGTATCTAATAAAATCATAATGTCTTGTTATGTCTAAAATATCCAACAATCCTCAATCACAATCTATTTCATCAGTATCTAATAAAATCATAATCTCTTGTTATGTCTAAAATATTCAACAATCCTCAATCACAATCTATTTCATCACTATCTACTCAATCATCATGTCTTATTATGTCTAAAATATCCAACAATCCTCAATCACAATCTACTTCAATCAGTATCTAATAAAATCATAATGTCTTGTTATGTCTAAAATATCCAACAATCCTCAATCACAATCTACTTAAATCACTATCTACTCAAATCATCATGTCTTGTTATGACTCAAATATCAAACAAACCTCAACCACAATCTATTTCAATCATTGCACAACTTCAATTATAATAATCTGTACTCCACTGCAACCCACCAAAACCGACCCCAAACAAAATTAGGTTAGTTGCGTATCCTTTACCGGATGTTGCAGAGCCAACCCCAACAGCCCCTGTCTGTTGTGTGGTTTTTCTAGGCAAATTTACGTCCAGTAGTTTGCCATTGCTTTCTGGACGGTCGGCTTTCTTGATACCACTGTCGAAACCAACGCAAGGCGCATGGCCCGCAGCTGGGATCAAACCCAGCATCCCGGCTTTACGACACAGAGCCGACCAAACAAAATTACAGTCCCTAAACTGTGGGCATCTATTTAACTACAATTTCAAACTTAAAGAACCAATAAGCAGCTGTTAGTCCAGCCTCCTCTGCTGCTGTTCCATTGGTACAATACAAAACCACTGCAATCGTGCCTATTAAAGAATTAGTGTCTTCATAAGCTAAATCAAACTGCAATAATCAATTTAGAACAATCTGTGCCGGTTACTTATATTGTCGAACGGACAGACAGCTTAGAAACAGAGTAGCAGAATACATCCCTACAAACAGCCCCATACATAAATGAATGGAGATCCTGTTAGGCTCGACCAAGTAGTGAGAACCTAACTCTCAGACATGACATCATTTGCTTGACCCCAGGTATGAAACTCATAAGGACTGTGCAGTCTGTGTCATTTACCCCATACTGGATAGGCAATTACTGAAACTGGCAGAAGCTGTAACAATAAAATTGAACAAACCCGCTTTGAATAAACAATTTAATTATGAAATTGTCCCAGTAGTCATGTGACTATCATGAGCTTCCAGCAGTGAGTTGAACAGAAAGACAGTGAAATTTCCCAGGCAATAATTTATGCAATTGATTGTTTGTGTCTGCCTTATTTAAATTAACTAAGTGAAATCGCTGTTCTGGACATGGGATATCACAGACAGAGAAGCCTTATTGACCACACTGCCCACTGGGTGTCAATTAGTCTCATCATCATCAAGTGCCTTGCCAGCTGGTGTAGGCGTTCCTGCATCTCCATAGATGTCGATCTTTGGTGTTCTGGATCAATTCCAAATGATATTCTTCCATGCCCCTGCCTCTTCTTCCGGTGATCTTTTCAGTCATCACAATATTTTCCCAGTGCTCTTTTTCTCATCAGTTGACCAAAGAACTTTGCTTGTCTCCTTTTCTTTGTTGTATATGATGTTCTACTTTCATTAGCCATTTCCAGGCAAGCATTGTTAGTTATTCTGACAGTCCAAGGTATTCTCAACATTCTTCTCAAGAACCACATCTCAGTTGCCTCCAAACTCTTCCTAATTTGTCTGCTCACATTCCAAGATTCACTGCGAGACAACAGAACAGGCTCAATATAACATTTCAGTACTCATTTTCTGATGTTTAATGAGTGGCCAATTAGTCTACATAATATGAATTAAATCAAACATCAACAAAGAATTCCCATAATAATAGTACTAGTTGCAACCTGACTGCAAGTTCACCTGTTTCCCCCATGCCGGTAGAAAACCATCCAAACCCTTTGCTGGCTCACAGCTGAATCATTCTCTCCAATCACAAAAATATCAGACCTGCACAGTTAACCCAAAAAAGCCTAAAGGCTTTAAAAAGGGAGTCTCTTAGTGTTTACCTGGGTTAGAGCCCAACTATTCGCTTCTTTTTCTTCCCATTCACCGGCTGTAAACTCCGACTGAAAGTTCTGCTTGTATATCCACCACTTCTGGACTTTTATCTTGCTTCAGAACTGGAGTTTTGAAAGCACATTTGTTTGACAAAACTGGCTCATCTGTATGCAGACTGTTGGTTCATCGCCTCCCGGGAAGATGTACTCTGACTTCAAAGGAAACTCGCCTAATTAGTTCTCTTGTACAACATGCTTGTAAGGGGCCAGTGACAGAATGAGGCTCGTTAGGGGCCAGTGACAGAATGAGACTCGTTAGAGGCCAGTGACAGAATGAGGCTCGTTAGGGGCCAGTGACAGAATGAGACTCGTTAAGGGCCAGTGACAGAATGAGGCTCGTTAGAGGCCAGTGACAGAATGGGGCTCGTTAGGGGCCAGTGACAGAATGAGGCTCGTTAGGGGCCAGGGACAGAATGAGGCTCGTTATGGGCCAGTGACAGAATGGGGCTCATTAGGGGCCAGTGACAGAATGAGGCTCGTTATGGGCCAGTGACAAAATGGGGCTCGTTAGGGGCCAGTGACATAATGAGGCTCGTTAGAGGCCAGTGACAGAATAGGGCCCCGGTAACCAAAGGAAAGGCCCAGTAATTGATGAGTGAACACTTACAGGTTTGAGTTCGGAAACATCCCATCCCAAGTACTCTGCCACTGACATCATCTGGTTCACTATACAATCAATCTCCTGTGAATCAGACACAATACATGTTTACATAACAATAGATCAAATAATTAGGAAGTTCTTCCAATCATAAGGAAGGCCTTCCAATCATAAGGAAGGTCTTCCAAACATAAGGAAGGTCTTCCAATCATAAGGAAGGTCTTCCAATCGTAAGGAAAACGATCAAGGTGCAGCAAGGAGTGAGAGGGGGGTCTGGCTGACGCTCAACACTCGGGATAGGGACGAGACGGATGGACAATCATACTGTTACTGGTGCCATCTAAATTACAACTCTGCACTTGCTGCTGAAGATAGGGACAGAGCGCTTATAAGAATGCCCTGAGTGCTATAATGTCAGTTCTCAACTAATAATACTTAACAATAGATGATCGCTTAGTTTCTCCTCTTCTAGCCTAGGGTGTCATCACGTTAGTACAGTGGCCTAGCACACTTGCACAGCAGCAAGCAGTTACATGTTCAAACACCAATCAACTTCCTGTGACCGAGTTTATCCCATAACCACTGGCTGAAGGTGCCAGCTCATAGGTCTTGGGTTTGAATCCATATGTAGTTGACCCAATATATATATATATATATATATACACCCACCCTACACACACACACACACACACACACATATGCGCGCGCACACACAAACACAGAGAGAGAGAGGGGAGAGAGAGAGAGACAGAGAGAGAGCATTTTTGGCCTTGTTCATCATCAAAGTCTCTGGGAACTAGGGATGGACATTTCCAGTTTAGTAGGAATTACTCCCACTTCATACATGTAGTTTAACCAGTCAGCCAATACTGTTGCCCACAGTGTGGCCACCGGTGTACATAAGCTGTATTCTTTCTGAAGTCATACATTCATCAGCGACCGGGTCTACTTTTGGTTCGCCAGTGGACCACTTCATCGCTGGTTGGGGCAGTATTTGGGTCTGTCTCCTCTGATCGCATCAGCACTGCAGAAGTCCTTTTCAGAGCTCTTGGTGGTGTGGTCTACGTGGTCTCGAGGCACGGCGTCTGCCTCGAGTGCTGAAGATCCCGGGTTCAAGCCCCAGTGAAAGCTGGTATTTTTTTCATATGGACTTCTAGAATTTTCCCCTGGTCCCTGGGTGGTAAGATAAAACGCCTGCATGTATTGTTGTGCACGTAAAAAATCCCTTGGCAGTTGGAAATCGAAAAGAGTAGCCTAACGGCAATGCTAGGGTAAAATTTGCAGTTAAAAATCTAACCAAAGTATGTATTTCAGGATCCTCGCCGCTGCTAGGAAATTCATGCACTGAGCTGAGATTCTTCAGACTCAGGCTTGAGTGAGAAGTAGAACGGAGCACTTATGACTTACTACCCTTGTGCCACGATGTTGATCTGTCGTCTAAACCTAAAACCTAAATCTAATCTTGGTGGTGTGCAATGCTAGGACATTTTATATGGCACACATAACCTAGTCACAACTATAACCTAAAGTTTCCCCTTCGGAGATACTGGTTGAACGTGAAGATTTTTTTCCCCAGCAAAGGAAGAAGCCATATGTAAGTGAGCTAGGTAGAGATGGGAGCTAGATAGAATCCTGAACTATTTATGAGGTACTACCCTTCTCTCTTTGCCCAACACACTTTCTTTGTCCTTGTTATGTTTAAATCTTCCATTTTAAAAACTACTTACAGAGGCATCCAAGAGTCCGTTTCCGTCCGAGTCGTAGAGACGAAACATAACTGAAACATAGAACATACACACATCAATGTATGATGTACCACAATAGCAATGATACAGATGTCCCTCATGAAAACATACACACATCAATGTATGATGTACCACAATAGCAATGATACAGATGTCCCTCATGAAAACATACACATATCAATGTATGATGTACCACAATAGGAATGGCACAGATGTCAATCATGAAAACACACACACATTAATGTACGATGTACCACAATAGCAATGATACAGATGTCAATCATGAAAACACACACACATCAATGTATGATGTACCACAATAGCAATGGCACAGATGTCAATCATGAAAACACACACACATCAATGTATGATGTACCACAATAGGAATGGTACAGATGTCCCTCATGAAAACATACACACATCAATGTATGATGTACCACAGCAGGAATGGTAGAGATGTCAATCATGAAAACACACACACATCAATGTACGATGTACCACAATAGGAATGGTACAGATGTGAATCATGAAAATACACACACATCAATGTATGATGTACCACAAAAGTAATGGTACAGATGTCAATCATGAAAACACACACACATCAATGTACGATGTACCACAATAGGAATGGTACAGATGTGAATCATGAAAATACACACACATCAATGTATGATGTACCACAAAAGTAATGGTACAGATGTCAATCATGAAAACACACACACATCAATGTACGATGTACCACAATAGGAATGGTACAGATGTGAATCATGAAAATACACACACATCAATGTATGATGTACCACAAAAGTAATGGTACAGATGTCAATCATGAAAACACACACACATCAATGTATGATGTACCACAACAGTATTGGCACAGACGTCATTACCAACACAAACACACTTCTTCAGCAACCAAAAACAAGACTGATCTACACTGTAGTAGGATAAGTCAATATAATATATATTCTTCTTATCATTCATGGCTGCAAACTCCAGAGGAAATATTCTGGTTGTTCATCCATTTCTGGATTTTGTCATATTGTGTGCACATCTGTTTTACACATCTAGCTTATTTGTATGCAGACTGTTCGTTCCTCACATCTCAGGCAGATGCACTCTGACTTTTAAGGAAACTTCCTTAATAAGTCGCGTTGTATGACATGCTTGTTAGGGAGGCAGCGGGTCTAATCTTTTTTTTCCCCAGAACGGGACCCTGGAACCCAAACAATCATGTCATGAAACAACCAAAAGTTATATTATGATCATGTGATGAAACAACCAAAAGGTATATTATGATCATGTGATGAAACAACCAAAAAGTATATTACGATCATGTGATGAAACAACAACCACAGTCTAATATGTCGCAAGTTACATGTTACAAGTAATACAAACCCAGGCTACAGAAATTAAAGACCACATGGATAATATATCCCACTTATGGATTCTTTTTCTTCATCATTAGTCTGAGCTCTTGAGGTTCACTGCTGCAGATATCACCCGCCTCCATTCATTTCTCTGTTGGCCTTTTCTTTTCAGTTGGTGACATCAAGTTATCTTTTTTTTTAGGTCTGCCTGGATATAATCTCTCCATCGTCTTCTTGATTTGCCCTGTGGTCTACTTCTTCTTCTTCATCTTTTCTCTACACCTGGAATGCCTCGCGGCATCAGGGCAGGAAGAGATCTCTGGAACTGTCCCTTCTGTTCGCTTCGTATAAAGTAATTTTTCAGTGTCTCTGATATTTATGCGGTCCATGTTTTGTGTGGTCGACCTCTGGCTCTGTTACCACTGTATCTGTGTAACATTGCTCTCTGTGGTGCCCTGACTTATGCCAATATTGTTCCATGGCCAAACAATTGGATTTTTTTGGGGTCTACCTATAAAGTTCAGTATTAGCTTTGTGCCGGCTCTCCTCCTGATATCATCATTCCTAAGTTGATCTTTCCTTGTTACATTTAGCATGATACATAAACATTTAATTTCGGTCTATTTTCCCTCTGGCCTTCTTGTGGTCTACAACCATTAAATTCTTAACAGTTGTTGTTTTTTTACCTCTCTGTCATTTGACATTCTCTCTATATACCCAGCCAAGTGGCACAAAACAGAAACTAACCAAAGCCACATCAATAATTTACGAAATTATCATCACCATCCTATTGTGTCATTATATTCCACACAGGACTCGCAAACAGCATATTAATGCCAACACTGATCTACCAGGGCCAAACTAGGACATTATCAAAGGCTAACCTATGTAAAAATAACACCGGTGAAATGAGATGCTCGAGGAAAGCTGCCAACTAAATCATCTGAGACAAAGTGAGAAATGATGCTATCAGACAGGTTGTGTGTCAAATTCATTGAGAAACAAAAGATCCAATAGATCTGTCATCCTGAAAGAATTCATTCAGAACTACAAACACAGGCACTTAGCATGAAAAGATCTAATTTGAAAGTATGAGGTTGCCCTAGGACTGATGACATTAAAGATCTTCTACATCTACACAGAATGACAATATGTATATCACTTCCCATCAGGCAATGGATCACAAACTTTTCTCATCCAGGATGCTCAACAGCAAAACTATAGACTGTGTGATGATGATGATAATGATGATGATGACGCTGACGACAACGATGAACAGATTAAGATCATTAGCAGTGGCAAACAAGAAGCCAGTCTCACATTCTAACTTGTCTTCAGGCCGGCCTGCTTCCAATAATGAGAGGTAACACACCAGGTCCTTGAGATAGATATGTCCTGCTTTGATCTCCAGGCTCATGGAGCGGTTGCGGACTGCTTTAAGGTCAATGTTGGTACGTAGGAGAGAAGAGTTTGACTGGCGTATCCAGGGGTCAGTTCCATCTAGGAGAGGACCTGGTCAGGGCAACAAAAATAAAAACAATTATCATTGATCGATGAATCAGGTGCAGCAGCAGGAGGAGAAGGAGGAATAAGAGTGGTGGTAGTAGTAGCAGCAGTAGCAGTAACAGCAGCAGCAATAGCAGTAGTCGTAGTGAGGTGCTGTCTCCACAATCAAGATTGCCTGCAATGGATATGCAACACACTCTACATTGTCTTGACTGTTCACATTCTCAAACTGCTGCTCATCCATCGGTTGATGTTATCTTCGTAGTTGTATCACTGTCTACCTCTTGCTCTCTTGCCTTCAACATTTCCCACCCGCATAGTTTTGATTATGGCAAACTACTGGACGTCAATTTGCCTAGAGAAACCACACAACAGCCAGGGGCTACTGGGGTTGGTTCTGCAACGTCCTCTAAAGAATACACAACTAACAAATAGTTCTGATTGTAATGGAGCATTATGTCTTTTCACTCTTTCAGCCCCAAAGAACGCACCATGGGTACTGGATGTTACTCATGTACACGGGTCAATATCATCTAGAGCCGCACTGGTATCTAGTGCCTTTAACAAACTGTCAAACATCTGGAAGTCAAAGACATTCAGCACACACACAAGATCTTCAACTCTTGTGTGATCCCAGTGCTAACTTATGGATACAAGAGTTGGAAAACAATGGTAGCTCTAGATAAACAAAATTAGACAATTTTGAGAGCAGATGTCTTAGAAGAATACTGTTTCTCCACTGATGTCAGATCCAATTCAGAAATAAGACAAGAGACCAAGCAAGATAATGTATCCGATTTTATCAGAAAGTTTCACTGGAACTACATCGGCCATGCATTCAGAATAAAAAGGAAGAGACTCCTCCCCTAAAGCACTCATATGGACACCAGAAGAGAAAAGAAAGACGGGAAGACCAAGAGAGACCCTGAAGAGAACCATCATCAGGGAAGGCTGAACATAGGGCCTAATGGACATTTAAGACCTAAAACAGGTAGCAACCAACCTCCAGACATGGAGAGCTGACCTCTGCACCGCCCTAGGCTTAAGAGAAAAGACCAACTAACTAACCAGCCAACATGTTTTGTGTATTTGTACATCACAGGTTAAGCCAGGCAAACTAAATCAACACAGTAACAGCAGTCACCCACAATGGGATGCACGTTTGGACCCTGTGGATGCAATATGTCCATGCTTTTATTTAGACCATTGTTCCTTCAGTCAGGCATGAGCTTTGATCTTCCAGGACTGAAAAAACGGAGGTGGCACAAATGTTTTGTCTCCATTTATTTCTTACACAGAAGGTCTGTGAGTCTGTTTAAACAACTACTATTATGCACACTGTGTATGCTGTGTTGGGTGCACAGAAGGTCTATGACTGTTTAAACACCTACCATTATGCACACTGTGTATAATACGTCTGGTGCACAGAAGGTCTTTGAGTCTGTTAAAACACCTAACATTATGCACACTGTGTATGATATGTCTGGTTCACAGAAGGCTGATAAGTTTATTTAAACATCTACTATTATGTACACTGTGTAGGGTATGCTTAGTCTATAGAAAGTTGATGAGTCTGTTCAAACACCTACCATTGTGCACACTTTGTATGATATGTCTGGTTCACAGAAGGCTGATGAGTCTGTTAAAACACCTACCATTGTGCACACTGTGTATATGTCTGATTCACAGAAGGCGGATAAGTCTGTTTAAACACCTATCATTGTGTACATTGTGTATGCTTTCACTGGTGCACAGAAGGCTGATAAGTCTGTTTACACACCCACCATTGTTCACACTGTGTATATGTCTGGTTCACAGAAGGCTGATGAGTCTGTTAAAACATATACTATTGTGTACACTGTGTAGGGTGTGCTCGGCCTATAGAAGGTTGATGAGTCTGTTTAAACACCTACCATTGTGCACGCTGAGTATGCTATGACTGGTGCACAGAAGGCGGATGAGTCTGTTTAAACACCTACCATTGTGCACACTGTGTATGCTGTGTCTGGCCCACAGAAGGTTGATGAGTTTGTATAAACACCTAACATGTGTACACTGTGTAGGGTGTGCCCGGTCTATTGAAGGTTAATGAGTCTGTTTAAACACCTACCATTGTGCACGCTGAGTATGCTATGACTGGTGCACAGAAGGCGGATGAGTCTGTTTAAACACCTACCATTGTGCACACTGTGTATGCTATGGCTGGATTTCTTGGACGATGACCGGGAGTGGTTGGACACATCTGGAGGAGTGGAATCGTCAGGGTGGTTTTTGTCCAATGAAGCTGTAACTGCCACAGCCAAAGATGGATGACTCGCTGCCGAAGCCGAGCCTGCAGGGAGGAAAACAAGCGATATGCTAAAGGTGCCTGACTGAAGACAACATACGGACACATGACTGCTGAAACGGAACTATATGTGGGTGTAATCCTAGCTCTTGACATGTGTACATGGGAGACAACATACAGACACTGACTGCTGAAACTGAACTATATGTGGGTGTAATCCTAGTGCTCGATATGTGTAAATGGGAGACAACATACAGACACATGACGGCTGAAAATAAACTATATGTGGGTGAAATCCTAGCTCTCGGCATTTGTACATGGGAGACAACATACATACACTGACTGCTGAAAGTGAACTATCTGTGGGTGTAATCCTAGCTCTTGGCATGTGTACATGGGAGACAACATACAGACACTGACAGCTGAAACTGAACTACATTTGAGTTAAATCCTGGCTCTTACTAGATGACCAAACCATCTGATCCCCCATTATGATAGTTAAATGATAATTGTTTTTACTCTCTGTAATTATCTATTTTCAGGACAGGGTCATGGCTAGTGTGGTTGTCACAAACTGTGCAGGACAAAACTTTTATTTCTCCCTCTTTCTAGTGTGTATTTGTAGGACTCGTTGGGGGGAAAACAAGAACACCCCAAAAAAACATGTCATAAAAGTTGACCTATTGGGAGCTTCCTTCAAAGTCTGAGTGCATCTGCCTGAGAGGCAAGGAACCAACAATCTGCATATCACTAAGTCAGATCTGTAAAACAGATGTTTATGCAACACTAGGTTCTGGAACAAGATTAAGTCTAGAAGTGGCCGAACAACCAGAACTTTCAACCGGAGTTTACAGCCGGTGAAAATTAGGAGAAAGAAGAAAGATTTTTTTTAAAGTTTATAGCATTTTGTTAAAGGTTTGAACCCAGATCTCAGTTTAAAGACTGCCCATTGTTCTAACTACTCAACCAGCCTCTCACTGTGGTAGTTAATGGGTTAAAATAGTAAAAGTGGTAAAAGTAAAGGACCCCCCCACCCCACCCCACCCCCCCCCACCCCCAAGGCGTACTGGGCATATAGGGCTAGATCTATATTTGATATACCAGCTGGTTGGTGATGTGGTAAAAATACTGGCTAGTAAATATCTAAGAGTTGAGGGTGACGGATAGAACAGTTATAAAAATATATCAGTTGGTTGGTGATTTGGTAAAAATACTGGCTAGTAAATATCTAAGAGTTGAGGGTGACGGATAGAACAGTTATACACATATATCAGTTGGTTGGTGATGTGGTAAAAATACTGGCTAGTATATATCAATGAGTTAAGGGTAACTGACAGAACAGTTATAAACATATATCAGCTTGAAAGCTGTTTACAGATGTCACCATTACTAGCAGCAAGCAAGCCTCAATACAACAGACCCACTACACAAACAACTCCACATGGTCGCAATACAATCAGTCAACACCATTTTCTCACACCTGATGTTACATTAAGTACACGGTAAGTAAAGTAAAGTAAAGGACCCTTTTCTCTGCCTTCAGGCAGACTAGGCATATTGGGCTAGATCTATATTTTTTAGACCAATTGGTACTTGGCAGTGATGTGATCACCGCATGCCGGCCACCTTTACTTCCCAGGACTGCACTCAAGGCTGGGTCTGCATGCAAGCCAAAGTCTTTTTTTTTAAACCTGGCTCCGTCAAAACCTGAACGCTCGACCTTCCAATCCACAGGCGAGTGTCTGGCCACTACACCACGGCAACTCCCTGGGTACATAGGGCTGACTCTATATTTTTATATTTACCAATCGACATTCAGTGTGTAAATATCACATTAACCGCCTTTTGTTTCCAGACAAATTCTTGATACTTTGTTCCCATTTAGAAAGAAATGGCAAACTATTGAATGTAAAATTGCCCTGTAAAACCAAACAGCAAAACAAAAAACGCCGAGATTGGTTCCGCAACATCCTGTGAAGAATACACAACCAACTTTGCATTTTAAACTCGGTAAACGTAGAAGCCCAGATAAATTCAAATAACATTCTCACAATGTCACAAATTTTTTCCTCTTCCTTTTTCTCCTTCTATTTCTCCTTTTCCTTCATTTGCATCTTCTTCTCTTTATTCGTGTTCTGCCTTTTATTCCCTAGGCTATCAAGCTAAACAACTTTCAGTCAGGGTTCCACCATCCTTGCAAACGGATCACCCGATAATTGCTCTGCTCCTGCACCAACGAAAAATCACATACAAGGTGTCACATATGAAGTCAAAGCCTGGCAAAATCCAACAGTCTGCACACAAATCAAACGCATAAGGCAGTCATCAGAGGTAATGATACCTACAGTTGGTCACTGAAAGTGCTACTCATAGCTGATAGAAGCAGCAGTCGCGACAAACCAGCAGGTGCGGCGCACACATTACTGCATAAGGCACACCACACCGCCAGATATCCTGTGGCAACAAACTACTCACCATTTTCTCAATATATCTTTTGACAGAGCTTCTCATTTCCCAATCTGGCACAGGTCCTGAACTTTTTTTTTATGTAACAAACAATAACTGAACAACACAAATAAAAAGTGTGTCATCTCCACAATGTAGGTTGCCTGCAATTTATTTTTCTTCTTCCCGTTCCCCGGCCACAAACGCCGGTGAAAAGTTCTGGTTGTTCGTTCACTTCCGTAATTTAGTCTTGTTCTAGAATTTAAAGTTTTGCATGCACATCCATTTTACAGATCTGGTTTCCTTGAATGCAGACTGTAAGTTCCCCGACTCTCAGAGAGATGCGCTCTGACTTCAGAGGAAAAATCTCTAGTTGCCTTTTAGGACATGCTTGTTAGGAAGGCAGTGGGTCTGTTCTTCTTCCATCCCAAAATGGGATCTCAAAACCGATACATGGAATATGGCTGGGACAATGAAACTATTATGTGCTTCACAATTGCTGCAAGGCTGCATCAAAACATTGTGTACACATTTATATCAGACATTTCTTGTTGAAGTTAAGTTTTAAAAAATTACATTTTTTTTTTTTAAGTGAGACGATAAAAGTATACAGCAATACATTACAAAAATGTTAAAATTTACATTCTGAAAATACAACGGGCAGGCGTATCCATGAACAGGTCTTATCTGGTACATACACGTTGCTTTCACCCACCCCCCCCCCCACCTCCCACCCCTCCCCAATCTCTATCTGTCTCTGTCTCTCTCTCACACACACACACACACACACACACACACCTCTTTCACACACCAGACAGAGCCAAAATAACTGCCAGGATTACTAACTGTTATTATAAAAGAAGTATTTAATAATTATACACGTGCACTGTCTTAAAATGTTCTGAAAAGTTTACAGTTTCATGTGACCTTGTGTGATGGTGAGGCTTAAAACGGCACTGAGAAGATAAAGAACATTTATCATCTTAAGTAGAGGGTCACTGCGTTAAGAAAATTTAGCATCTTAAAGAGAGGGTCACTGCGTAAAGAAAATGTAGCATCTTAAAGAGAGGGTCACTGCGTTAAGAAAATTTAGCATCTTAAAGAGAGGGTCACTGCGTAAAGAACATTTAGCATCTTAAAGAGAGGGTCACTGCGAAATAAAATTTAGCATCTTAAAGAGAGGGTCACTGCGTAAAGAACATTTAGCATCTTAAAGAGAGGGTCACTGTGTCACTGCAGCGACAGCAACTAACTCTAGACACGATTCAGGAGATTGGATACCCTCTAGAAGTCATCATTACAAATGGCACCCATCCTGAAGTGTGCGAAAGTCAGTCTGCAACTAAAAACCTTTCTGAATACTTTAAGATCCCACACGTGTATACCCATCACATACTTCTTATATGATAACAGTTTAAAATCCCGACAATTGTTCTCGACAATCCTGGACTTAGCAGTCAAAACTGATCTTTTTTTTTTTCTCAGGATTGTCAATGATTCAACCAACCGAAAACAGTGTGTTTTACAGAAATCAAGCATGACTAACTCTCCCAAATGAGCATGAGCTAAATAAAAATCAAGAACACAACAGAAGGAACACATCAGCTCATGCAGCACAGTATGATAGTGACAAATACAAAGAATTCCCCTCCACAATTGCAGCATACAAGATTGATACCCAGTGACTCAGAGAGCCACCTTATGGATGTGTATTTAAAAGGAGCAAAGAGCAAAACCTATAAATACTGTTCAACTGTGTTGTTAAACGAATGCACTTCACAGCACCTGTAATAGTCCCATAAACGCTATATCTAAATCTTCAGCAGCAAGCGCAGAATTCCAATTCTGACAGCACCAGTAACAGTCTGATTGTATGTTTGTCTCACAATTCCCCTGAGTGTTGAGCGTCGGACAGACCCCCCTGGTCACTCCAAGCAGCACCATTCTCCTGAGACCGTGACGATCTATTTCTGCTTCTGCAGTGTTCATTCATACCCAAAGCGCCCTTACACTATCAAGCTTGCCATGCATCAATTCACCACCAAGTGATGCAGAACCAGCCAGTTGTTCAACTGCGCAAGAGTTATACTCTCGGACATGCTCCAGTTAAAAAGGTAACCTGCTCTCCTGTGTTGGCACCTCTCCATCTTTCCAGGAAGCAGGGGACTCACAGCCCATGGGGATGGAGAGTGTATCCAGCAAGACCCGCAAGTGTTAAAAAAAAAAGTCTACCCAAATTAGAGCATGGAATGTCAGGACCGTTATTGCCATCACATTTATCGTGTTTCTTCTCAGATGCTCAGCCTTCACCCTTTCTGCAACCATTTCTTCCTCTTTCCCTTTCTGATTTACCCCCTCCATGCAACACAGTCTATGGCATTTTGATCCCACAAATCCACCTCAATACCTGTATCATCCTTTCTGCAACCATTTCTTCCTCTTTCCCTTTCTGATTTACCCCCTCCATGCAACACAGTCTATGGCATTTTGATCCCACAAATCCACCTCAATACCTGTATCACCCTTTCTGCAACCATTTCTTCCTCTTTCCCTTTCTGATTTACCCCCTCCATGCAACACAGTCTATGGCATTTTGATCCCACAAATCCACCTCAATACCTGTATCATCCTTTCTGCAACCATTTCTTCCTCTTTCCCTTTCTGATTTACCCCCTCCATGCAACACAGTCTATGGCATTTTGATCCCACAAATCCACCTCAATACCTGTATCATCCTTTCTGCAACCATTTCTTCCTCTTTCCCTTTCTGATTTACCCCCTCCATGCAACACAGTCTATGGCATTTTGATCCCACAAATCCACCTCAATACCTGTATCATCCCTTCTGCAACCATTTCTTCCTCTTTCCCTTTCTGATTTACCCCCTCCATGCAACACAGTCTATGGCATTTTGATCCCACAAATCCACCTCAATACCTGTATCATCCTTTCTGCAACCATTTCTTCCTCTTTCCCCCTCCATGCAACACAGTCCATGACATTTTGATCCCACAAATCCACCTCAATACCTGTATCATCCGTGTCCTGCTTGCACACATCTTTATATAGTAGCAGAGGCCGGCCTCAACATCTTCTACTTATCTGTAATTTACCTGTCTCCAGGTGTGACCCAGTCAGCTCAGCCTTCATACAATGAGCATTCAGAAAGTAATTTCTGACGGTCTGGATAGCTATACAAGGTTACAACATAGATACACTGATCAGGACAAACAGCAAACCAACCTGACACAAATGCACCACAATAAGAACTGCAATCAACTGTGAACAACGACACAATACGTACATTCCCGTCTTCGACCACCCTCTCCCTGCTGGGCTCCAGGGCCCAAGTATGAGAGGGGAACAAAATACACCCAGTGTTCCCTCAACAAGCATGTCATAAAAAGCCACTAATTAGAGGTTTGCTGAAATCAGATGTGTTTGCCTGAAAGGCGCATATATCACAGCCTAGCTTTAAACCATAACACAATGTGCAAATCGCTTTTTTAAGGATGAATGCAGAAGATGATGAAAAATCACCTTCACACAATGCATTCTCTAACTAAAACCCTTCATCCAGTGTAGTACTTTGGCAAGAAGATTTTTTTTAATGTAAAATTCCATGTTACCCCAAAGAAACATATGCAAAGCTGTAGCCAACAAACGTTTGAGAAAGAAAAAATACAGAAGCATGCAACATGCAAACAAAGAAGATAGCAATTTTAAAAACCCACAAACAAATGATTTGGATTAGTTTCCCTTGTTTTAAATTTATATTTATTGTTAATGTGAAATAAGACACCCTAAGTGAGATGCTGCTCAACCTCATTACTGGTGTCTCCTTACGGTGCTGACTCTATCTTACTAGGTGTCTCCTTACAGTGCTGACTCTATCTTACTAGGTGTCTCCTTCAATTACTGACTCTGTCTTACTAGAGGTCTCCTTCCAGTGATGACTCTATTTTACTAGGTGTCTCCTTACAGTGCTGACTCTATCTTACTAGGTGTCTCCTACAATTACTGACTCTGTCTTACTAGGTGTCTCCTACAATTACTGACTCTGTCTAACTAGGTGTCTCCTACAATTACTGACTCTGTCTTACTAGGTGTCTCCTACAATTACTGACTCTGTCTTACTAGGTGTCTCCTACAATTACTGACTCTGTCTTACTAGGTGTCTCCTACAATTACTGACACTGTCTTACTAGGTGTCTCCTACAATTACTGACTCTGTCTTACTAGGTGTCTCCTTCCAGTGATGACTCTATTTTAATAGAGGTCTTCTTCTAGACCTGGCTTTCTTACTAGGTGTCTCCTTCTGGTGCTGACTATATCTTATAAGAGGTCTCCTTCTAGTGCTGATTCTATCTTACTAGGTGTCTCCTTCCAGTGCTGACTCTATCTTACTAGGTGTTTCCTTCTGGTGCTGACTCTATCTTACCAAGGTGTCTCCTTCTGGTGCTTACTCTATCTTACTAGAGGTCTCCTTCTAGTGCTGATTCTATCTTACTAGGTGTCTCCTTCCAGTGCTGACTCTATCTTACAACAGGTCTCCTCCTAGTGCTGACTCTATCTAACTAGGTGTCTCCTTCTGGTGCTTACTCTATCTTACTAGAGGTCTCCTTCCAGTGCTGACTCTATCTTACTAGGTGTGTCCTTCTGGTGCTGACTCTATCTTACTACAGGTCTCCTTATGGTGCTGACTCTATCATACCACTGGTCTCCTTCTGGTGCTGACTCTATCTTACCAGGTGTCTCCTTCTAGCGCTGACTCTATCTTTCCAGATGTCTCCTTCTGGTGCTGACTCGATCTTACTACTGGTCTCCTTCTGGTGCTGACTCTATCTTACTACTGGTCTCCTTCTAGTGCTGACTATCTTACTACAGGTCTTGCTACAGGTCTCCTTCTAGTGCTGACTCTACCTTACTACTGGTCTCCTTCTGGTGATGACTCTATCTTTCTACAGGTCTCCTTCTGGTGCTGACTCTATCTTACTACTGGTCTCCTTCTAGTGCTGACTCCATATTACTACAGGTCTTACTACAGGTCTCCTTCTAGTGCTGACTCTACCTTACTACTGGTCTCCTTCTGGTGATGACTCTATCTTACTACAGGTCTCCTTCTAGTGCTGACTCTACCTTACTACTGGTCTCCTTCTGGTGCTGACTCTATCTTACTAATGGTCTTCTGGTGTTGACCCTATCTTACTACAGGTCTTACTACAGGTTTCCTTCTGGTGCTGACTCTATCTTACTACAGGTTTCCTTTTGGTGCTGACTCTACCTTACTACATGTCTCCTTCTGGTGCTGACTCTATCTTACTACAGGTTTCCTTTTTGGTGCTGACTCTACCTTACTACAGGTCTCCTTCTGGTGCTGACTCTATCTTACTACAGGTCTCCTTCTGCTGCTGACTCTACCTTACTACAGGTCTCCTTCTGGTGCTGACTCTACCTTACTACTGGTCTCCTTTTGGTGCTTACTCTACCTTACTACTGGTCTCCTATTGGTGCTGACTCTACCTTACTACTGGTATACTTCTGGTGCTGACTCTACCTTACTACTGGTCTCCTTATGGTGCTGACTCTACCTTACAACTGGTCTCTTTCTGCTGCTGACTCTACCTTACTACAGGTCTTCTTGTGGTGCTGACTCTATCTGGTACTAGTTGTCTCCTTTCAGTGCTGACTTTTATCTTTTTTACTTGTCTCCTTCTTGTGCTGACTCTATTTTACTTTTGGTCCATCCTTTCAATACTAACTCTATTTTACACTGGTCATCCTTTGAAAACTAACTTTATTTCACTACTGGTACATACTTCCAGTATTGGCTAATTTATTATGTCCATCCTCCCAATACTGACTCTATTTTACTACTGGTCCATCCTTCCAATACTATTTTACCATTGGAATTTCAAGACTCTATATTTCTACTGGTTTCCTTCAAGTCTGTTTTAGTTATTCAACTGCTAAGTATATTTTTTTTAGCAATTATAGTCTGTTTTAGATGTTTGTATAAAATGATACCCACAATGAAATGGAAAAAAAAAAAAAATTTGCAAGCTACATTCCCAAAAGGCACTCTAAAATAACCAAAGTTACATCACCTCAAAATCTTTGGAGGGAACAACCAATACAAAACCAAACAACCGTTCTGCCAATGAGTCTACCTGCCCGACTTCGTTTCCCCGAATCGCCAGCCCCGCTGTCCGACCTGGAGTGACCCAGTCCGTGCAGCTTCTCTGTGAGGCCGTGCAGCTTCTCCGCCAGGAGACTGTGATGTCTGCCGCTGCTGTCTTTGTCGCCCGAGGTAGATGTGGAAACTTTGCTATCAAAATGGAGTTCGGTTGACAAGGGCGCGCAAATGGTCTGAGACGCCACCACAGCCATGTCTTTCACGTTGAAATCCTTACCCGAGGTGGTCAATGGGGCGGCCGGCCCCAAGGCCGGCTTCCTCATGAAGGAGAGAAACAGATGCTTGCACAGGTCCTCCGGAATTTCCGCCTCCAGATAAGTCTCCATGAACAGCTTGAAACCAGCGTAGTCGATAGGCTGGAGAAGATAACCATTTTATTACACACTCGAACAAGAACTAGCTTAGTCTGTCAGCTGAAGGAGGCATGACAATAATGATCTTCTTCTACTGCCACAGCCTTCTAAGCTCCTTGAGGTTCATTTGTGCAGATTTCACCCACTTCCACCCATCTCTCTGACTGACCTGCTCTTTGCTGTTGATTTCTTCTAGTGTTCTTATGTCTGCTTGTTTTTTGCCTCTCTTTCACCTGCTTGGTCTGTGACGACGTGAGCAATACCAATACAACTCTTAATTGTAACTCACTATCTACTGGAGTCATCACTTACAATTGGCTTTAAGAGTGTTAACAGACTGCTACGGTTTAGACACAAGGAGAAACTGGCAGACAAAGATAAAGTAGAAATACATTATTTACATGTTAAAATAATTAAGACAGGGGGACAATAGGACTTTTTTAGAAGAGGAGAGGAAAAATTACTTGAAAGCAGAATTGACTGAGTACAAGAAAGTTTGACAGAAAGCAAATATGACTAGGATGGACAGAATACATGAGAGGACATAGAGAATACATGAGAGGGCAGAAAGAATGCACGAGCGAACAGAAAGAATACACAAAAAGCAAATATTCTGATACTGTTAATAAAGTCTCCAAAAGTGTGCGTCTGTGTGTGAGTACCCATGAGTTCTCTAAGGGTGTCTGCGAAGCTCATCAATCCTACCCATGAATTCTCTAAGGGTGTCTGTCTGCAAAGCTCATCAATCCTACCCATGAATTCTCTACGGGTGTCTGTCTGCAAAGCTCATCAATCCTACCCATGAATTCTCTACGGGTGTCTGTCTGCAAGGCTCATCAATCCTACCCATGAGTTCTCTAAGGGTGTCTGCAAGGCTCATCAATCCTACCCATGAATTCTCTAAGGGTGTCTGTCTGCAAGGCTCATCAATCCTACCCATGAATTCTCTAAGGATGTCTGTCTGCAAGGCTCATCAATCCTACCCATGAGGTCCTTAAGCCTGTGTGCAAGGCTCATCAATCCTACCAATAAGTTCTCTAAGGGTGTCTGCAAGGCTCATCAATCCTACCAATAAGTTCTCTAAGGGTGTCTGCAAGGCTCATCAATCCTACCCATGAGTTCTCTAAGGGTGTGTGCAAGGCTCATCAATCCTACCTATGAGTTCTCTACGGATGTCTGCAAGGCTCACTGATATATTACCCATGAGTTCTCTAAGGGTATGTGCAAGGCTCATCAATCCTAATGAGGTCCCTAAGCCTGTGTGCAAGGTTCAACAATCCTACCCATGAGATCCCTAAGCCCGTGTGCAAGACAGGTCAATTCTGCTTGAATGATCTCCAACCTGTAAGATCTCCAACCTGTAAGATCTCCAACCTGTAAGATCTCCAACCTGTAAGATCTCCAACCTGTAAGATCTCCAACCTGTAAGATCTCCAACCTGTAAGATCTCCAACCTGTAAGATCTCAACCTGTAAGATCTCCAACCTGTATGATCTTCAACCTGTAAGATCTCCAACCTGTTTGATCTCCAACCTGTATGATCTCCAACCTGTAAGATCTCCAACCTGTAAGATCTCAACCTGTAAGATCTCAACCTCTATGATCTCCAACCTGTAAGATCTCCAACCTGTATGATCTCCAACCTGTAAGATCTCCAACCTGTATGATCTCCAACCTGTAAGATCTCCAACCTGTAAGAACTCCAACCTGTAAGATCTCAACCTGTAAGATTTCAACCTGTAAGATCTCAACCTGTAAGATCTCCAACCTGTAAGATCTCAACCTGTAAGATCTCAACCTGTAATATCTCAACCTGTAAGATCTCAACCTGTAAGATCTCAACCTGTATGATCTCCAACCTGTAAGATCTCCAACCTGTAAGATCTCCAACCTGTATGATCTCCAACCTGTAAGATCTCCAACCTGTAAGATCTCCAACCTGTAAGATCTCCAACCTGTATGCAAGGCTTAAAGATCGAACATCTACCATCATCATGGTGATCAATGACTATAAAGAGGACCCACATATTTACTACCTACCTCTTCTGGGTTGTACTTCCCAAGTACACCATCCCCATTGAACTCTTCCAAAACATCCTTCAGCTTCTTGGATGAATCTGCAAAATAAATGTGACAAGTCGGACCAAGGAACGATGCACATGGCAGACCGGAAATAGAGGAATAAACTGGGAGCCCTAAAAGATGTGTAAGGGCATAAATGGAGAATCACGTAGATGATGATGATAATGAATACGACGATGACCAAGGCCGATAAGAGAAAGAAAATATTGCAATACTGACCGCCATACGTGTCCTAAGTGGTGATCTAAGACAGCTGGTGTGAGACTAGCCGACCACGGTCGATTAGAGAAAGAAAATATTTCAATACTGACCGCCATACGTGTGCTAAGTGGTGATCTAAGACAGCTGGTGTGAGAGTAGCCGACTAAAGTCGATAAGAGAAACAAAATATTGTAATACTGACAGCCATACGTGTCCTAAGTGGCGACGGGGAATAGCCTCACTACTCGTACCGTTCTGATTCTTTTATGTAAACCCTATACAAATGAACATAATTAAAGTCAACGCCGAGATCTGCGCGCTTGTCAGTGACAAGTCAGATGAGACAGATGTGCTGATCTTCACATACGGGTCCGTTATACGAGGACACAAGAGTGAATGAGCGTTTACAGTTGGCTCTTCGGGCAGAACAGTTTAAGAAGCCAGGGGTGCCTTCTCCATGACTACCAGCAGCATGACAATGGAGGTGATGGCGGTGACACAGGCTTTCGTGTGGCTAGAATCACAGGACTATTCCCGCATGTGTGTGCTGAGGGATTCTTTGAGCATGATCCGGCCGGTCGAGTCAAGCTGGTTACGCAGACAGTGGTATGAGTCGTTGCAAAACTCTCCTGTTTGTACAGTTACCATCATATTTGTCCCAGAGTGTACAGGTGTTGTTGGTAATGAAAGAGCTGATAGACTGGAAGGTGCCGCATTAATTGAAGATGGCCGGCCCATGGATTACGCAGCCATTGTCGATGCCCTTAGAGACAAAGGACGAGGATTTTAGAAGCAACGTGTCCACATCACTGCTAAGAATACGAGAATGGGAGTAAAGAACGGCACACTCAAGCATGAGAAGCACACTGGACGCACACGAAGTCTTGTCAACCAGCACAGTACTGGCACTATTAACCGCGCGACGCTGATTAATATGCTGAGGGGGGAATCTGAGCACCTATGGATGTGTCCGGAGTGCTGCGAAGATAATCCAACTCAAAACTCATACCAAATTACAATACTAACCAAAAACATGAACACAGTACATAAATTAGCTATTAGCATATATTTATACATGTATCGAATCGTTAGCTTTAGATTATGGAAAAAAAAAAAGGCGAGTGCACCTCTGGGTGGTGAATTGATACATGACAAGGCAGGTGTGGTCAAGGCCGTTTGGGAACAAGCAACGGAATCAGTAGAGAAAGAATATTATGGCCGGGAGAGAATGAGGCCCCTGGGTGTAACCAGAGGGTTTTCTGGTCGGCTCACTACACTCAGAGGAAAGGCAAGACAGACATATAAACAGATTGTGACAGGTATCATCAGTATTGGAGCTCTGCGCTGGCTGCTGAAAATAATGACGGAGCATGCATGGGAACGCCTTGGGTGCTGTGATGTCAGTTATTGACTCAACTCAACTCACAGGGAAACGTTAAAATCGGAAGACACCAACTAAACACCAACTGCACCAACTCTGGCACTTCTTCTCTAAGTTCACCGGCTGTAAACTCCGGCGAAAAGTTCTGGTTGTTTGTCCACATTTGGACGTTTGTCTTGTTCCAGAACTTGAGTGTTTGCGTGCACATCCGTTTAACAGACCCGAATTGACTCTATGCAGATTGTTAGTACCTTGCCTCTCAGGCAGATGCACTTCGACATCGAAGGAAACCCCAATTAATCGACTCCTACGAAATGCTTGTAAGGGAGGCAGTGGGTCTACTCTTGTTTTCCCCACAATAGGGCCCCTCAACCCCCCCCCCCCCCCCCAAAAAAAAACCGATACATAGTGAAGACGAAGCATACTGCTAGACAGACGGACGCTGTTGACCTGTCATTTACAGCATTTGCAGACGTGCACAATAAAGAAGCACAGCATATTTGTCAACTGTTTTATGGATTCTTTATCCTACCCCCAGATGCCGTCACAGAACAGTCCAACATTTTAGAGGGTGGTAAGACTGGGTTTTCCGGCTTTCTGACACTTTTAACAACCCTAAAACATCTAGAACTGGACCTAACCCTAACCCACCTACATCTCACGAGAGAGTGCAGCCTAGGTCCCACGACTGCATGCAGCCTATCTTCCTCTCCCTTAAGACTGTCCCCTGACCTGTGGATTTCCCCTGTTTGGGGTAGCATATTAATATAGCACCGTTTTATGTTTCAACAAAGGATCAACATCATGGCACAAGGGTAGTAACTTATAAGTGCTCCGTTTTAGTTCTCACTCAAGTCTGAGTCCGAAGAATCTTAGTGCAGTGCACGAACTCCGTAGCACCGGCGAGGATCCTGAAAATACTTTGGCTAGATGTTTAACTCCAACTTTTGCCCGGGCAGCGCCGTCAGGCTACTTTTTTCAATCTCTAACTACCAATGGATTGTTTTACGTGCGCAACAATACATACGGGCGTTCGATCTTACTACCTAGAAAAAAAAACTACCTAGAGACTAGGGAAAATTACTAGAAGTCAAGCCTTCACCGGGGTTTTAAGCCAGCGCCCCGAGCACTCGAGGAGGACGCCATATCTCGAGACCACAAATGTTTCAACTGCCTGAAAAGAGAATGATGAGCATAGCCGACCAGGTCATACATGTCCTAAGTGGCGACGGAAATAGCGTATTCTCTTTCACACACATACACACCTGCGCCCCTAGGTTCAGACGCCCCTGTTGACCCCGCCCTCCCGCCTCGTATAGGCACTCACTGCTCCGTTCTCCACAAAAACAGGTTTACTGCAGACGGGGGCCTGATGTGTCGGCAGCAGTGTTGCCACTTTGCATTTTTTATATCCAAATTTAGATCTTTTTTATTGCATTTAGATACTGTTTTTGACGTTTAGATCGTAAATCTTTTTCTAGAATCTTTTCATTTGGAGATTGATATTTTATAGATTTTTTTTTTTTCTTTCATTGTCAATTTAATAATTACTGTGTAAAATATTCACTACAGTATTTTTTGTTTTGGTCTGGCACGTACATTGTGACAACTGCCATTACTTGAACTTTGAACTCTCACTGGGGTCAACGCACAAATATCTGGCAGCCCTGGTACTGATTAATAAAAACGCGCGTAAATCATACTAAATTTGTTTCAACCGTATCCTCACTGTGCTGATTTTGCGTTTCTTTTTCATGTGATTTAAAAAAATTATTTGCTCACCTTCTTATGTGGCTTTCACTTTGAAAAAACCTTTCAACATGCCAAAAGTAAAGTATGAGCAAAAAATTTGGAAAGAGTAGTTACATGATGACAAAATTAAAAACTGGGGATATGACCAAAGCTTGTTGTAAGTACTGCAAGTGTGAAATTAAAGCGAAAATACAAAACTCAAAGAGTCATGCAGAGACTAAAAAAGCATAAAACTGCAGTTTCATTTAAAGATATTACACCGCTGACATCTGTTTTCAGAACTATACTGATAAATGAATCATCAAAAGTTAAAGTATCAGTCGCAACGTTTTTAATTTAATTTGTCACTGCGCAATTTCAAACTGTGACCATTTGATCGATTTGTAACAAATCTTGGACTAGTCCAATTTGAAAAGTGTGGTGTAGAAAGTATAGTTTAGGAACTGAAGGACCTTTTAATCAGCGAACAGTTAGGCTTGAAGATTTTGGCTGTAATTGGTACTGATAATGCCTCAGTGATGGTTGGTATAAACAATGGCGTTTATGCCAAGTTGAAGGAAGCTAACCCATCTTTAATACTTATAAAATGTATGCGTCATTCATTGCAGCTAGCATTATCACATGCTTCATCTACAATTTACCAAGGAATTTGGAATACCTTATTGCTGAAACACTTTACTGGTTTTCCAAATCATTTGTCAGACAACAGCAATACAATACATTATATACAGCCTTGAATGATGGTTCCAAACCACCGAAAATTCTGTCAGATTGCAAAACTAGATGGTTATCAATTTAACCAGCTGTTGAAAGAATTATGAAGCAATGGCTGAAGTTGAAGACACACTTTGAAATAACAAGACAAAGTGAAAAGTGCTACACAGCTGAAATATGGAATGTACAGTGATGAAAAAAAGTTGTCATTCATTGCATTTTTATAACCTATTCTAATGGAAGTGCAAAAACTTAATAAACTGTTCGAATCTAAACTTGTTGATAAAGTTAAATTACTTGATGATCTCACCTTGCTATTTCACTCGGTAAAATACTGGTGTTGCCAACTTCTAAAGCTGATTTGCTCACTTGCACTATAGAGAGCTATTTGGCTCCTAAGCCACACCTTGGATATTAAATCGAATCAAAAATTGATGATTTAAAAACAAAAGGACTGTTAACAGAGAATGAAGAGAACAACTTACGAAAACGCTGTCAAGATTTTCTTATCTCATTATTGAAGGAATTGAAGCAGAGACTTTCTGAAAATCTAGATGTTTTGAAAAATATTTCACTTTTTTCTGTGAGCAACATACTTCAGCCAATAAAGGACATACCTAAATATTGTAAAGTTATGAACTTTTTAGGGGCTACTGATAATAGTGTCGCGGAAGCAGAATATCAGTTAACCAAAATTAAGTTAGCTGAATGGACAAACAAAACAGAAACTAAAGCGTTTTGGAGTGAAGTGAGACAATTTAAAGATGCCACATCAAACAGTCCATTCTGTAAGCTCTTTAAAGTGCTATGTCTGCCATGATACTACCCCACTCAATTGCTGACGTAGAAAAAGTTTTCAGTGCTAGGAATTATATCAAATCTAACCTAAAAAACAGGACGAAATTTGACCTCTTAAATGCTATCGTGCCATTAAAATTCGACATGATGAGACTAGAGAAATAAGCCTACTGTTCCACTTATAAAGAAATTTGAACAGCTAAAGCATACCAGGGTCATTTTCGATCTGAAGCTTCAACTTCATTATCCAAGCTAAGTTTATCCTGTGGATCTTCTGAGGCAGACATCAGTGAAGGTGAGGACATGATTATGTAGGGTAAGTCATAACAAAAGCTATGTAATTTTTGACTTTTTCAATTTGGATGTTTTTTCTAGATCTTTTCCACGCAGATTTAGATATTTTTTGACACCGTTTTGGATATTTTTTGTCAAAGAAAAGTGGCAACACTGGTCGGCAGGAAGTAAAATCTCACCGGGAACGAGACGTGAGGAGAGAATTCCCGACAGACAATGAATGAACTGAGGAGATAGAGCGAACACGCCGGGCCGCCGACCGGGCTTCCGGGACACAAATAGCGGCAAAACAGTCTGCAGGAGTGACTGAAGGTTGCTCCAGCCCGCCGTTATGACGTCACCACCGATGCGGAGATAACGGTACTTGAACACAGATAATCTAGGTGTCTTGTGTTATTTGTTTTCCCCCTTCCATATCATCTGAAGTTGCCATTTTTCCCTGGATGTTTTTCGGGGGCATCCATTCTCAGGAGTACCATGAGCTTTTGAAAATAACCCACGGAAAGGCGCATCAAAAGCCTGCAAAAGTCGGATGTGTCGGCCGAAATGGGGCGAATATCGTGGCCATGTTGTAAATCGGTGGTCTCCAACTGGTGGAGGAAAAATGGGGGAAAAGGGGGGGGGGGTAAGGAATTACATGGAGGATCACACGCACTTTGGAAACTAAGTGCATTTTTTACTTGAAATAATCCAGATTTTTAGCTTTAACAGTCACGAAAATAAAGCAGCGTTTGCCAGCCTGGTTGTGACTTATCCAAACGCCAGACCACAAATAGCAGATACCGTCAAGACAAAGCTAAACTACCAGTTGTTGGTGATTGTTTCCTTTGTTATCTGTTGACTGGATGTTTTTCCCTCTAAGTTCTTGTCAACAGTTTTTGGGGATTCTTTATTTCTGCCCTCCCTCTTTTGATCACGACAGTCGCTGTGGTGCAGCGGCTAGACGCTGGCCTGCAGATCCGAAGGTCGTGAGTTCGGGTCCAGACGGAACCAGGTTTTTTTTCTTCAAGAATTACTTGGCCCCCATGTCGACCCAGCCTCGAGTGGGTACCTGGTGCAGTCCTGGGAAGTAAAGACGACGGCCCGCGTGATGTTGACCACATCACCCACCAAGTGCCGGTTGGTCTATAAAATATAGGTCTAGCCATATATGCCCAAGACGCCTGAAGGCGCGGAGAAGGGACGTTTACTTTCACTTTTTATTTTAATCACATTTTGTTGTCTGGGGGAGGGGGAGGGGGGGGGTTGCATTTACTCGAGAGCAGCTCCACTTGAATAAGGCTGGAGACCAAATGGTTGGCCTCTGTGCTACACTGGTTTCCTAATCGAGCAGTTACAACACCAGGCTCTCGTGCGGGATATCCGAGTTCGGACCCCCCCCCCCCCTCCTCCCCCCCCCCCCCCCCAGTAAGGTGATAGAGATTTTTCCGTCCGGGGCAAAATGAAACATCCTAACCTGCGCAGTCCGTGGCGACAGCACAAGCGATACGACCCTAAATCCTCAGAACCCCCCCCCCCGGTCGACACCGCCCTGAAAGGTGTAAATAGGTTGAATTTTCGATTTGTTTTTAATTAATTCAGTGTATTATAATTTTTATGATTTTCCAGACCAAATGATAAGGAAAAAGGTCTAGAACTGTCCATACTACTCCTGCCACTGATAAATCTGGGTCAGACAGTGATCGTTAGTTGTGTATCATTTACAGGACGTTGCAAAACCAACCCCAACAGCCCCTGGCTGTTGTGTGGTTTTTCTAGGCAAATTTACGTCCATTAGTTTGTCGTTTCTTTCTGGACGGTCGGCTTTCTTGATTTCCACTGTCGAAACCAACGCAAGGCGCATGGCGCGCAGCTGGGATCGAAAGACAGTGGTGACAGTCTTGATATTATGATAAATAATGACCATGCCAAACCTACAGTTTAGGATGAAGCCGAACAAAATATGTCAATCAGTTTGTCCTTGTTTTACTCACTGTCCGGAATTCGGTTGTTGTGTAATTTGACACGTTATACACAAATTATCATAACAATCCAAAGTATTTTGACTAACTTCTTTAGAGAAAGACTAGTCATGCATAAATAAATAGAGAAGGAATGCGAATTCTTAAAAAATAGTTTTTGTTGTTGCTGACCAAGATTTTTAAAAAAATTTAAGGTACGTACAAAATTTCACGTATACAAAATCTTCAAGTGTGTCTATCATCCTTAAACATTGGTATCATTTTAAAAGTGTGTTGCTGTGATACTGACATTTAGATAGTTTAGAGCTATTTTGTACTCCTTTCTCTTTCATTTGAAACATTATATACCACTATATAGCCAATACTTTTTCTTCATGAAGGTTTGTCATGTGGCAGAGAGAAAAACATTCTGCTCGAAATTAATTTGGTCCAAACTCCAGAAAAAATATCGTCCGGAAAGCTTTAGATAGGACAAACTAGAAAGGTCCAGACAAAAGCAGGGAAACGCGATAACGGTCTTAGGGATACATCATAAAGATCCGCAGGAAAAAAAAAGGAGAGACACACCAGAAAGGTCCACAGAAAAAGCAGAGACAAACAAGAAAGGTTTGCGGGGGAAAAAAAAGTAGAGACAGACAAGAAAGGTCAGCGGAAAAAAGTGGATACATACAAGAAAGGTCAGCGGAAAAAAAGTAGAGACATACAAGAATGGTCCGTGGAGAAAGCAGTGACAAACAAGAAAGGTCAGCGGAAAAAAAGTGGATACATACAAGAAAGGTCAGCGGGAAAAAGTGGATACATACAAGAAAGGTCAGCGGAAAAAAGTGGATACATAAAACAAAGGTCAGCGGGAAAAAAAGTGGATACATACAAGAAAGGTCAGCGGGAAAATGTAGAGACATACAAGAATGGTCCGTGGAGAAAGCACAGACAAACAAGAAAGGTCAGCGGAAAAAAAGTGGATACATACAAGAAAGGTCAGCGGGAAAATGTAGAGACATACAAGAATGGTCCGCGGAGAAAGCAGAGACAAAAAAGAAAGATCCGCGTAAAAAGTTGAGAGAGACTCACAAGAAAGGTCCGCGGAAAAAAAAACAAGGACATGTTTATTTGTTTGTTTTAGTATCCAGAAGCCATGAGTTATTAACCCATTGGCTCGGTTCTATGGGTATCGCAACCTTTCGGCCTTGATTCCATTGTAAATACAGTAAATCTGGAAGAAAATGTGGCTTTTCTGCCTACCCCCGGGAGTGAACCCGGATACAAAGAGTTCGTCACCCGGTCACCGCGCAATCCGGTTTAGCCAACTACGCTAGAGAGCCGGGCAAAGCAAGGACATAAAAAAAGAGTAACCGATCTGACTAACCTGTGGGTGAGGTGATCCCTGGTGATGGAGGTAAAGATAACGATGTTGCAATAGGATAATAATAACAGATGAAAATCGACGATGGTGAAGGGGATGATGGTCAAGATCGTGATAAAGTTGATGATAAACGATAACGATGGTGATAAACGGTAACGGTCGTATATGAGATATCAAGACAAGACAGAAAGGTAGGCAGACGGGCGAATGGACAGATGAGCTGTCGGACAGATGTACGTTTAGACAGGCAGAGAGACATACATACAGACGGGTACACAGATGGACTGGTAAAAGGACCAAAATGGAAGAGAGACGGGTAAAGATACAAACAGAGACGGGCAGAAAGAAAGACAGGGGCAGAGAGACAGGTACATACATAGATGGGTTCAGAGACAGACAGGAGGGCAGGGAGACAGGTAGAAAGAAATACAGACAAACAGGCATACATACAGACAGATGGGCAGAGATACAGACAGACAGACAGGCGGGCACACAGATAAATGTAAATATGGGCAGACAGACAGACGACCAGATAGAAACAGAAAGAGAGATGGGGATAAATATACGGACGGACCACCTACAGAGATAGACAGATAAAAACAGAGACAGGAAAACAAAGACATAGACAGAGACAGTCACACAGAGATAGGCAAGCAGACAGAGACGGGCGGACCGACAGATTGCACAAGAAGCAGACAAAAAAGAAGTGCCAATCATTCCAGAACTTACATGAAGTATACTCCTGTAACTGCTGGAACTCAGAAGGGCTCAGTTTCTGCCATTGCAAAAGCGACATCATTGATCAGGCTGAGCTGGGGCTGTTGAAGGCTAATGTAACACCATCAACACAGGCCACCCTCCGCTCTCAACAGCGTAAACAGCCTGGCTGACATAATCCCACAGGTATATCCACACTCGACCACCTCCTCGAATTTTAACATCATTAAAAAACACGGAATCCTTGTCTGAGCAACTCGTCAAGTACTCGCGCCGCTGGAACAAAGTTAATGACACTTACTCCAGGGACACTTTTGAAATCACACTGAGCAGGATAAGGCTTCAGAAATGGCCCCAGCCATTGGTCAGCGAATAATCCTGCGGGTTTTTGTTGGCAGTACCGCTACTGGAGGAAGATGATGACCAGGAGGCAACCGTAAACCTTTAACTCGACAAGATAATGGTGCTGCACTCGTTACTCCTGTAACTCTCCAGAGGGACTGTTAGTTCGTTGTTCAATGCCTGTATTTGAGAGACAAAGAAAGGTTTTAATCTGTGCTCGCATGGGAAGTAAATAAAATGCAAATGTCTGAGGAAAATCAAGAAAATAAAATAAGATCAACTGAGGCGCGCCCCCCCCCCCCCTCCTTTTTCAATAATGTTTACGGACTGAAGTACCTTTATTTAACATATAGCAAGGCAACAAGGGTTGAAGGGGGCGGGGGGGGGGGTGTCGTCAGCCTCACCCGGCCTTTCCGAAGACACATTTGCAAGAGAGCTTAACCGCCCCCCCCCCCCCCCCACATCAAACACTCAGACACATACACACAAATTAACAGACGTTGAATTCTCCACCCTCACTCCTTGTAACATCTCTGGGGAAGGGCGTCTCTGGGGAAGGGGGGGGGGTTGTTAGCTCTCCCAGTCCATGTTTTTCTTTGTGGCGACGCTTCTGAACACAGTAAATCACATACATAAAAGCTGACAAACGCGTGGTAAGCTGTCTGGTATTGGATGACTCCAAGTGCCCATTTTCGTGCTGAATGAGCAGATCCAGTCCTGACATCTCTGAAGATCAATCCTTCCCTTGCACGTGAGAGCTGACCCCTTGAAGTGACAGCTGACCCCTTGCGTGTCACACTCAACCCCTTAAAGTGACAGCTGACCCCTTGCACGTGGCAGCTGATTCCCCCTGCAAGCTAATATTTGATACCCCTGTCCGACTTAACCATGACTGACACCACATCTCTGACGTGCAGACTCCATTGCAGTGGTTCTCAACCTTCTAACTACCACGACCCTTTAATACAGTTCCTCATATTGTGGCGACTCCCAAACAAACAATTATTTTTCTTCTTCGCGTTCACCAGCTGTTAACTCTGGCGGAAAGTTCTGGTTGTTCATCCACTTCTGGACTGCAGTCCTGTTCCAGAACCTGATTGTTGCGTGTGCATCCGTTTTACAGATCTGACTCATTTGTATGCAGACTGCTGGTTCCTTGCCTCTCAGGCAGATGCACTCCGACTTCAAAGGAAGATCCCAATTAGTCGACTCTTACGACATACTTTTGGGTAGACAGTCGGTCTATTCTTGTTTTCCCTATAAAAGGGCCCCGGAACACGGGGAACTATACAATATATTTTCGTTCCTACTTCATAACTTCAATGAATATGTGTTTTCCGATGGTTTTAGGTGACTCCCTGTGAAAGGGTCGTTCGACCCAAAAAGGGTCGCGACCCACAAGTTGAGAACCGCTGCTGAAATGTAAGATTCTTCACTGTCACAGCAACAGGGGTATCAGGGAAATCACTGCAGTGAAGCACTGATGTATTGTGTGGGAACTGCCGGGCTAGGTGTTTCAAGACAGACGAATGATGACAGCATCATCTTCTTCTTCTTCTTGATTCCATGCCGTGTGACGTTGGTAGTCATGTCTATCCCCAACCTTCTGTCTCGTGTACTTTCAATCAACGCTGACACAGATGAACCTCCGTACCATGATGTCAAACTGTACAGCATCTTTTCTCTCGGCCTCCCCCTGCAAGTCCTTCCCTCCAACTCTCCTACTGTCACGAAGTACTCTAGTTTTCTCCTTCTCATCACATAAATTATTACAATTTTGAAAACCTTAAACACTGATGGTAAAGAACTAAGAATAATTTACAAAATAAAAACATATACTGACAACAACAAGCAACCATAAGGATTGAAAACCAAGTTAGAACTTTTCGAAACGTTAAACGAGGTGTTAGACAGGTATATGTATTATTACACGATTTAATCAATCTGTTCAGTAAAATAATAATTAGATCCGGTCCGGTTCACGTTTCCCGGCCCATCTACAGTCTACCTGACCTGGCATTCATACTTTCTCAGACTCTTCTACGTCGGATGGGTGTCAAGTTGTCTTCCCTCCAATTACTTCAGCGCCAATGTCGCGTGTTCTACACTACACCGCGACACAGCTTTCCTCGACCCTAGAACATCTAGAACTGGCCCTAACCCAAACTCCCCCTACCCACAGCCTGAGCCTAGTTCACACAAGAGACTTTCTTCGAAAGAAGCATTACAACGTAACACCCCTCTGACCTAGATCAGACAAAGTGTGTAGATGGGCCTACAAACGTGAACAGGTCCTTAGATGGTGTGCCAGGAATATCGCTTCGTGGGCATAATGTTAACAACCTGCGATATGCAGACGATATAATTCTGATCGCTGAAAATGAAACATACAGCATCATGGACAGATAAAAAGACATGCATGGGACGTTATTCAGATTAAGGACAGGGCACATCTCGAACAGGGTTGTTGTTATTTTTCGGCGCAGAACAAACGAAGATGGGTATTTTAATTTTATTTAACTCCAAACAAAGATGTAGGGGTGCGAGGGTTAGCGTCAAGGTAAATCGGTGTCTCTGAGGCGGTCACGGCTGACAAGGGTCTGTTTCATTTTCGTGCCAGGGCGCGCAGGCGTTCTCTTGCTACTGCACACCATATTAAAGCTTCAGCGTTCATTTCAAACCATAACGCTACTAGAATTTTGGACTTTTTCGGGGACTCCCGAATTTCCTTTGTTTGGGGTGAATTAAAACTAAAGTACCCGGAGACGGTCCATGCAACCGACAATGATGTCAAAATATATTCTGCTAACAGAGAAGCAATATGGGTATTTTAATTTTTAATTCACTCCGAACAAAGGGAATTAGGGAGTTCCTGGGATAGTCCAATAAAGACATCAGTGATACATATGGCTACCAGGTTTGGGGTGAATAGAAATTGGAAGTACCACAATCACTTTCATCATGACTACCATCCTCCTGGTAAAAGTGGGCCAGAGAAAAATAAGAAGGCATACTCAGAAATGTGGAGACAGGTATGCTCCACGCAGAGTGGCAAGCATCGCCTTATAGGTCCCTAGTAGCTATAAGTTTCCTAAGGTCACGTTCTAGAAAAGCAAGTGGTTGGGAAACGAGCAGACAGCCAGTATAGCTGGTTTTGCATCCCCTGGAGGTAATCCGGTAATCTTAGTTTCCTTGGAGGTATAAAGTAAAGGTAAAGTCGGGAGATGTGAACCAGCGTCATTGCACACGGTTATAAACCATAAGTGCTCTGCCACCAGTACCGACAGTTGATAAGAATCGTCCGCCTGTGTCGCCGTCCGCACGTAACTCCGTAGCTACAGCGACGTTCCTCCATTTACCCCAGAGTCTCTACTCTGGTACCCATTTCCTAGAGGCTGGGTGACCCTCGGAAACCGCCCGGTTTCGAACACCGACCATGGCTGCGGCGAGTCGCCGCTGGATTTGAAAGCGAGTCTCCTATCGACTGCGCTAACGCTATCCCCTTGGGATATGACAAGCTAGATGTGGTCAAGGCCGTATGAGAGCGAGTGAACGATGTGGAAGCACACAAGGCTCATCACGGTCTGATGGGACTAATGCAGCGGGGAATGACAAGGGCAACTGGTCGACACTCAACGCCCAGAGGAAGGGCGAGATGGACATACAGTCAGGTTGCTGTTGATACTATTGGAACCGGAACTCTGCGCTGGCTGCTGAAGGTGGGGATGGAATGCTCAGGCGGTGCTCCAAGCGATATGATGTCGGTTCTTATCTGAACTCTCTCTCTCTCTCTCTCTCTCTCTCTCTCTCTCTCTCTCTCTCTCTCTCTCTCTCTCTCTCTCTCTCTCTCTCTCTCTCTCTCTCTCTCTTTTTTTCTTTCTCTCTGCCTCTTTCCTTCTCTGCGCTGAACTGGTCGCCTGACTGACAGCATTACACAAAGCACTAACTTCTTAGCTCCAGCGACTGTCTCGACCACAGAGATACACTTACTATTATTTGCTACGCCGGTAGAACCCCGCTACAACTGACTCCAACAGGACAATCGCTTGACCTGACTTCGCAACGAACAACCGTGATTCCGCAAGTCTGTCAACTCCAAACAAAAGAAAAACCCAACTCTTCCATAAGACGCCATTTGCTTGATTCCATCAGACATGTAACTGACCTGGAAAGTGCCTTCCGTGTTACTTACCAGACACAGAATAGAAAAATTCTGAGATAAGCCGAAGCTTTAACAGTAAACCTGAACAGCGACAATTCTGTAAACATAAGGAATTCATTATGAATCTGAAGTCACTCTTGAAAGTCAGGTGACTATCCTGAACTTCCGGCGCGTAGATGAACAATGCATCGAGTGAGACCATTTGTATTTCAGTGGAATTAATTCAGTTTTCGTGCTCCATTATATGTTGATGAAACTCTGGTAACGCACCTGGCGATTTGCAGGGAAATATTTTTATTTTTTTTTATTTTATTATTGGTGGCGTATCCTTTACAGGACGTTGCAGAACCAACCCCAGCCCTTTCTGACTGTTATAGTTTTTCTAGGCAAATTTACGTCCAGTAGTTTGCCGTTGCTTCTGGACCGTCGGCTCGCGGTACCAGCCACAGACGCCGACGCAGCGAAATATGCCTGGCAATCAACTTCACAATGTTCTGTTTGTCCTTGCATTATTTAAATGCCAGGTAAGTTTAGTCCGATCGGCTGGACGGCGTTGTTGAAAAGTTGGCTTCACC